CTTCACTATATGTAAAGTGAGAATATTTTTCTAAATTAGTTTACTCTTCCTTATAGTCTCTGAGCTGTTATCCTGGATCCTCTTTGAATACTCACATCAGCTCCAGACACATCTACTTCTCATTCTTGGTAACCTCCTGCACTTTCTTTCTTAATCTTGTCAGGAATATAGGAGTTGATGTCAGGAATTTTATAAATAGTTAATGATCGTGAGAAGTATATAATTATCCTCAAGTGTCATAAATGGGAGAAGTGATTTATTATGATAATTTAATAATGATTAATGACCTAATAATTGTTGCCATCATAAATATGCTACCTTGCAATCTTATTACCAAGTTATTTATGGGTATCTTATGTGCATGTGAAGCAGTGTCAGTGCTGACTTGTTTTTATATATATATATATATATATATATATATATATATATATATATATATATATATATATATATATATATATATATATATCCCAGATATTTTCTTCGCTTATTTTCTCGCCCTCGTATATCCATTCGTGGCAACTCCGCTTGCTTCTCTTCTATTTGTTCTCATTTTTTCTATTTTTTTCTTCTGTGCAGTGGCACTGACACAGCTGCCCCGTGTGTCTGGATGAATCATGGGCTCTCTCATTGTTCATCTCCTCGCTATGTTCTAATATATTTTGAATATAAGTGCGAAATGGCACTTATGTGCCATTTCGAATTCGTTGACGATCCTTTAATGTCTCTGTAATTCGTTTAAAAAGGCTCTCAAGCTTGAGTATAGTTCCCTCACTTGTAGACTGGCTTTACTCTCCTTACTCATCTCTAGATTCACTTCCTCCAGGTGACCATGACTGTTGTTATTGACTCCCAGAAACGTCTCATTATATTAGGCATCCCCAGAAGGGAAACCTTAAAGTGGCTGCCAATATAATTTTTTCGTCCAACTTTTACGTTTTTCTTTGTCTCATAACTTGAGTTTCCATCTGATCGACTTCATATTTTCAACGTTCATGTACGGTAACTAGAGCTAGAGTCTTAGAAGAGCTGTCATGCTTACGTTCCATATGGCCAAAGTTGCTAAGCCCGTTCCCAGCATCCTGGAATAGCTCTGATATTGTTTAAAATCTTGGAATTGTTGGAATCAGGTCAGTTACTGGAGAATGACTTTTCTGACCAGTTATAAACTTTCACCGTTGATGAGTTTAATTACAGGGAAGTTTGTCGCTCCCATTGAGCTGTATAAATTTCAATTTGTGCATTTTATTAAATAAATTGTTTCCTATGTAATAACCAAACAATGACTCTACTGATCTGCTTCAAACCCTAAATGATGATGTGTTGTAACTGTAAGTATTTTTTTTAAAGATTTTGGTCACTGTGTGAGCTAATTTAAAATTTTTAAGCATTTTTATTGAAGGAATTGAGATATTAATTTTCATATGATAACTCGTCTCATTCCCTTCAAATCTTCAGTGCTGAAAATACAAACTATATATATATATATATATATATATATATATATATATATATATATATATATATATATATATTGAAAGCGGACGTGTATTATTCCCTGTATTATTCCTGTCAACCATACCCCCGGCCGGGATTGAACCCGCGGTCATAGAGTCTCAAAACTCCAGCCCGTCGCGTTAGCCACTAGACCAGCTAGCCACAATAAGATTCATCCAACTAGGTGTATTTCTACACCATAGGAAGGTTAGCACAGGCACCTCTGTGACCACAAATGCAAGTTTTTACAGACGAATCTCCAGCTAGCGTGGCCGTGACGAACTCTAGCTCAAGTCCCTTCACTGCCGTCAACATGACTTAAGAAATCGTAATGACACGATTGCAAATAAACCATACCCCCGGCCGGGATTGAACCCGCGGTCATAGAGTCTCAAAACTCCAGCCCGTGCCTGTGCTAACCTTCCTATGGTGTAGAAATACACCTAGTTGGATGAATCTTATTGTGGCTAGCTGGTCTAGTGGCTAACGCGACGGGCTGGAGTTTTGAGACTCTATGACCGCGGGTTCAATCCCGGCCGGGGGTATGGTTTATTTGCAATCGTGTCATTACGATTTCTTAAGTCATATTCCTGTCAGTCAGGCAGTGGCCAGGACAGGAGCAGATGAGAGGTGTGTTTAGTTCAATACGTGTAGGAACGCGGCTGGGTGAAGTAGTCATGGGTTGGTGATAGTTTGAGTAGGTAATTTTGGTAAGTTTTTTAGTGCATACCATAGGTGTTTGGGCTGAAGTGTTCTCATGCTTACTTGTAAAGCCCTACTGTGCAGAGCTCTGTGTTTTGGAGTGTTTTAAACGTTTCCACTGTAGGCTATGTAGCCTGCAGAAAGGTTGGGGGGAGGGGGGTCATGGAGCCTCCCTGTTCATAAATGTTCACTTATTTTGTTTAACTCATTAGTAGCAGTGTGCTAGTGAGTTAATGTGAACTGGAGTGTGGTGCTTTTTTGTAGTAGTTATACGTTGAATGTAAGTTATTATTAATATAGATATATTTTTATGTAGGTGAGTTTCGTTCTTCCTTCCTAATAATATTTAATATTGATTAATATGTGAGTACATGCTGGTCCAAGGTTTGCTGTGTTTCTCAGGTAATTTTATAACCCCTAGACAGCAGTGTGAGCAGCCTTTTGGGGCCAGGAACATTTTTAAGTTACGACTTTGAAGTCGTAACAATATATAATCTTTAAACTGATATCACAATATGCAAAAGAACTACTGTGAAAAAAAGTGAAAATTACAATCACTTTCGTTATTTCTCACATTATCAAGGAACTGTAAAAATAACAGGGCAACAAAAGGCTTATAACACAGAGATAATACCTCACGGTCACGGAAAAGGAAACTTGGAAGGGTTGAGATAATTCCTGAATGCGGTGCAATGAGAAAGGGAAATGAAAGGAAAGCCAACGATATTTCTCTTTTAATTTAGTTAATCATACGATTATTCTTCCATTTGCTTCCAAGTTTCCCCAGTTTTTCTCCTTGTGGTTAATGACTCCCATGGCATCTTTTTTTTTTCTTTTTTGCCTTGAACCTCTAAGCTCTTATTGCTACATCCTCGATGGTTTCTGTCATATCAATATTATCTTTTCGCTCGTGTCTCTGTCTCCTGCTGTTTGATGACGGGTTATAGAATGTGGCTACTGGAACCTAGGCTCCCTCTGGCATTTTTATTCCGGCCAAGGAATTTCTGTATTCATCACTGTGCATTCCACTTGGCTAATCGAAGTTCCACGTGTTCCTGACTAGAGGTGTTGCTCCCCCAAGTCCAGTATTTCTCATTCCCTTCTCATTGCCTGATACCCTGCTGGGAATATCGAATTTGTTATAGTTTCTAATAATTATATCCCTGTAATGTCTAGAGTCTTTGGTGCCACTCCTGATCATTAAGTTCCTTATCTTTATTCGTTACTCCATAACCAGATTTCCCCATTTCTTACCAGGTTTTATCGTCAAGAGTCTAGGGGAAAAATAAGAGAGAAATCCTCACTCGTGGTGAGTGGAGGTCTGGGGACATTTATGTTTGCTGGACACGGAGAATTGTAGGTGTGTATATGAGCAGAAATTGTAGCTGGGTGTGTTTGTGTATGGATTTACGAAATCGTAATGACGCGATTGCAAACAAACTACCGCGGGTTCAAGCCCCGCCCGTGGTATGGTTTGTGTACGGAGAGCGTGGATAGCGGTGGGACAGCCTAGTCTCGCACCGCGAGTAAAATGCGTTCAGATTTGAACTTTTTCCATTTTTTCCTCCGCTTCATTGAAAATAGAAAAAATGCAAAAATGGATAAAAATAGGGAAGTGAAGAGTTGAAAGCAACAGGAAAAGTTGTAGTAATAGCAACAACAGCAACAGATACATCGGCAACAGCCTTAGCAGCAACAGAAGTAGCACCAAAAGTTATAATAACAGCGAGAGAAAGAGAGAGAGAGAGAGAAAAAAAGCAACGACAGCAGGAGCACAGTGAGAACAGGCATTAGCAGAGGCAGTAACAGCCGGGTGAGAGCGGACAAAACACAGCAGCAGAAGAGTGAGAGCAGACAGCAGAAGCAGCAGAGACCAAGGAACGGCAGAAGCAGCAGAGAGCAAGGAACACCAGAAGCAGCAGAGAGCAAGGAACAGCAAAAGCAGGAGAGAGCAAGGAACAGCAGAAGCAGCAGAGAGCAAGGAACAGCAGAAGCAGCAGAGAGCAAGGAACAGCAGAAGCATCAGAGAGCAAGGAACAGCAGAAGCAGCAGAGAGCAAGGAACAGCAGAAACAGCAGAGAGCAAGAAACAGCAGAAGCAGCAGAGAGCAAGGAACAGCAGCAGTAGACTGAGAGCGAGATGCAGCAGCATCAGAGAGCGGGCAACAGCAGCGGAGAGCGGGTAGCAGCAGAAGCAGCAGCAATAGCAAGAATGAGAGCAGGCAGCAGTAGGGCGAGAGCGGACAGCACTAACACCAGCAGCAGAGTGAGAGCGGACAACAGCAGCAGCAGGGTGAGAGTGGGCAGCAGCAACAGCAGAGAGCAGGAATCAGCAGCAGCAGAGAGCGGACAGCAACAGCAGAGAGCGGCCAGCAGCAGCAGGGTGACACCGGGCAACAGCAGGGTGAGAGCAGGCAGCAGCAGCAGAGTGAGAGTGGGCGGCAGCAGCAGCAGAGTGAGAGTGGACGGCAGCAACAGTGAGAGTGGACGGCAGCAGCAGTGAGAGTGGGCGGCAGCAGAGTGAGAGTGGACGGCAGCAGCAGAGTGAGAGTGGGTGGCAGCAGCAGCAGAGTGAGCGTGGGCGGCAGCAGCAGCAGAGTGAGAGTGGACGGCAGCAGCAGAGAGAGTGGGCGGCAGCAGCAGCAGAGTGAGAGTGGGCGGCAGCAGCAGAAGTGAGAGTGGGCAGCAGCAGAGTGAGAGTGGGCGGCAGCAGCAGAGTGAAAGTGGGCGGCAGCAGCAGCAGAGTGAGAGTGGGCGGCAGCAGCAGAGTGAAAGTGGGCGGCAGCAGCAGCAGAGTGAGAGTGGGCGGCAGCAGCAGTGAGAGTGGGCAGCAGCAGAGTGAAAGTGGGCGGCAGCAGCAGCAGAGTGAGAGTGGGTGGCAGCAGCAGCAGCAGTGAGAGTGGGCAGCAGCAGAGTGAGAGCGGGCAGGCAGGCAGGCAGGCTGGTGGACAGGCCAGCAGGCACCCCACAGAGAGTGGGATAGCGGGCTCCATGAACATCATAAATAACAACCTCTGCCTTGCTAGGTTCCCTCCTTCTCATCACCTTCTAACTAACTTACAACTAACAATACCCGAGTGCTACCCCTGCCCAGGCACACACGAGGGTGTCGCAAAGCACCTGAGGATAGCACCTGCTCGCTATCCCCCGGCAATGCCTAGCCAGTGTGGCACTGATGACTATGTGTTGGGGTAAGCGGGGTCCTGGGTGACCCTCTCCCTGGGCAGCACCATCTCCGTCGCCACATGACGTCTGTGAATCTGTTAGCATCATCATCACCATCATCATCATTATCATCATCATGTTCTCCGTGGTGATCTTGTGGATGGGGGTGTGTTGGTAGTTTCTGGGGGGAGAGGTGTGGTGGGGGTACTAGAGCTGGTGCTGTGTGGGTAGTCGAGTGTGTAGCGGTTCAAACCTGGCTCCTCTCACCTCTAGTTCGCAACACCTTGCTCGGCTCCTCTCCCGCTGCTCCTTGCAGCATCTACTGCAACGGATGCTGACCTGCCTAGCCACCAGTGAATGCAGCTACTAACCTTTCGTCAGCTCCTCTCCTGCGTCATCTGCATCGTCTGCAGCGTGTACTGCGTCATCAGTCATCGGCATCGACTGTGAGCATCGACTTTTTGGTAATATAATGTTTATCACCTCCGGAGCCATGCTATTAACTAAATTATTTCCCTCCTCCACAACGCAAACACAGACCGACACATTGATCACAAAACAAGGGCAAAAAAAATCTCCCATAATAGGACTGTCATGTTCACCTATTGTAAACACACAACTATCTGAACAACTCTTCATCTTCACCTTCAGCGGTAGTTTTGCTTCTAACATCACTACCAAACCCAGCTGCGTCAAATGAACACTTGTACTGTCTATGTATATTCATTCGAAGCACAATATTACCTACGAGATGGCAGTGACATTGCTACAAGAATCATAAGGCCGTTTCAGTAGCTGTGGTAACTACACACACGCACAAGGAAACTGGAGGAAAGATATGATGTACTACGTTGCAAAAGCAGCTTTTATGAGGGACAACGTTTCGCTCTCTCGACAGAGAGAAACGTTGTCAAATTAAAGTTTATTTAGCAACACGTGCCTTTCCTTCACTTTTATCAGTGACAGGTCATTCGGACCCCACCGAAAGTCAGCCACAACTAGAGCCAACTGCCAGATCAGCCAAGTTAAAATTGCTCTATACAGTACGCCCGCAGGACACTGGTAGCAACAGCCAAGTTACCCAGGCAGTCAGCAAAGAAGTCTGGCCGTAGGCCGGGCTGAGAGAACTGAATAACTTAAAAACGGTCACAAATACGTCACTCTTGCCTACCACAGTAATCACCAATGCAATAGTCGCCACTATAAGACAATAGTCACCACTACAGTACCTTAGTCACTACAGTACCGTAGTCACTACAGTACTGCAGTCACTATCGTACCACAGTCACTACAGTACCACAGTCACTGCAATACCACAGCCACTACAATACCACAGTCACTACAATACCACAGTCACTACAATACCACAGTAACCACTACAGTAACACAATCACCACTTCAATGTAAGAATTACGACTACAGTCACAAAGAGCTACAGCGACACGGTGACCACTACAGTAACAATCAAAATTAGAGCAAAACTGTTACGACAATAGTGACACAATCACCACTACAAAAAGTCACGGCTACAGTCACCCTTACAGTTGCAAAGTCACCCCAGTAGTGACACAGTCACGATTACAGTGATATAGTCACCACTAAAGTAATACAATCTGCACTACAATAAGAAAGCTACAGCTACACTGCCACAGTCACCCAAACAGTAACGTGGTTACAACTATAATGGCACAGTCACCACTACAATGTCAGCCCCTGCTATAGTGGCGCAGTTCAAACTACAGTGAACAGTTGTCATTACAGGGACACAGTCCAAAATACAGTAACGCATTATCTCTAATGTGGCATAGTTATCAACACAGAACCACAATCACCAGTCCCACTGCATTATTATAATCTCCACTATATTGACAATTACCAATACAGTGACAGATTCGCTCCTACAGTTAGTCACCATTACAGTGATTCACGTAACCGAAGTGGTGACTTTGTCACCACTTCGGTTACGTAGTCCTTATAATAGTGACACAGTCGTCCATACAGTGACACAGTTACTACATCAGTTATACTGTCCCCACAACAGTGACACAGTGCCCCTTAACAGTGACAAAGTCCTCCTGCAGTAAAACAGTCGCCACAACGGTGAAACAATCCTCCCACAGTGACACAGTCATCATTTTAGTTATAGTCTCCACTACAGTGCCATAATCCCCCATTCAGTGAGACAATCACCAGTTACAAGGTCCTCAGGACAGTGACATCCTTGCCTCGCTCACACACAACAGTAGCAGCATATGAAGACAATTGTAAGTTGCTGAAGAAGAACGAGACGATGTCTGGACAACACCCCACTGTGTGTAGAGCTTTATCAGGACTTGATAAAGCTCTACATAGAGCGAAACATAACGTGACGAAGTTCTACACGGGGCGAAACATGATGTGAAGCTCTACACAACGCGAAATATAACGTGATAAGAGCTCTAGACAAAGGGAAACAAGACTTAAAAGAGCTCTTCACTGAATGAAAATTGACGCCACAAAGCTTTACACAGAGCTCAACACAATCTTTAAATTAGATTAGATTAGACTGGAAAACGTTAAAATTAGCTAAGGTTAGATTATTTTAAGTTACATTATTAGATTATTCATGCTATGTACCCTCTACAGTCTAACCAAAACTATCCTAAACGAGGCTTTCTTCGTACCCTGAACTACCCTAACCCAAGCCATCGTACCCTGATCCAGTGTATCCTAACGTGACCAAGAGTAAATTTTGATGGTAAAATTGTCCTCGTGCATGACAAAAATATTCACAAGAACTGCGTCGCGTCAACATGTCGGCATCAGGAAATCACAAGACTACACACCTGAGAGTCTTATTAAATGTGGAAGATGGTTTTTATCCCTTCTAGCGTTTCCAGATGAATACAAAAACTACTACTACTACTATTAATAATAATAAAAATAATAATAATAATAATAATAATAATAATACAGCCTACTCACAGTTCCCAGTTAGTAACGAGCGTGTGGTGCGGCAGTGATGTGGTCTCCAGTACCTCACAACTGCCAGCTTCACAAACTGCCTCTCACTCACTGGACGCAGATCGGGGCCGCCGGATTCACAAGGAGGATCGAACCTCCGTTACTTTTTACCGCTTAATGACCCACACAGGTTTATCGGTTAACATCACTAATTCTCTTAATGCATCTTAAGATTTTGTTCTTTTAGAAAATATATGTCGTGCCGAATAGGTAAAATTGGTCAATTAGCAAGAACTCATTTAAAATTAAGTCCTTTCTAAAATTTTCACTTATACGTTTAAAAATATATTTTTTTTCATTTACGTTAATGTTAAAATTAATAATTTTGTACCAAAAGAACCTTATAAAGCTTACCTAACCTTATAACAAACGTAATTTAATATAGTCTAATTTAACTAAATATATTTTAGGTAAGTTTACAATAATTTAATAATAAACAAACACAAAGAAACATCGACACCATGCCCAGCCCTTCTAGGGTAGGGTAGGTGCCAGAGCCCGAGCCTTTAGCTCATAAGACTGTCATTCCCATTAGCCCCCTTGGGGCGGGGATGGCAGACCAGAGAGGCCTAGCTTGTGGCTAGGCCTGGGGACAGTTGGTCCCAAAGATGAGGAGGTACTTGTGCCTCCTCCCATGGGAGATTAGGTCTCATACAACTGAAAGAAGTGAGCCAAGGGCCTTACAAAACTTAAAACCCGGCAACGCAGTAAATTTTAGTCTAATTTTACTAATATATTAGGTAAGTTACATAATTTATAATAAACAACACAAGAAATATATTTTTTTCGTTAGGTTCAGAATGATTTTTGCGAAATTGTTGCACAAACAACTTTTTGTTTGTCTTATTCGGCAAGAAGAGCCAAAATAGCAAGTTTTACCTATTCGGCACGACATATTTAAATATATATATATTATATATATATATATATATATATATATATATATATATATATATATATATATATATATATATATATATATATATATATATATATATATATATATATATATATATATATATATATATATATATACATATAATACATACATACGTATTACCACAACAATTGCCTCAATTAACATAAAGTCAAATTATTGTCTAGCATATTTATTAAATAAAATATTATTGTATTTATGTTTCAAAAATATATATTATATACAGTTAAACTCTTATGGATTATCTTTTTAAAATATATATACCACACATTAATATGGAAAAAAAATAATCTTTAACACAATAAAATTATCAAGAGGAATATTAAAGAATTTATTTATGCAGTGGACGAATATTGAAAATGAACACCCCCCCCCAAAAAAAAAAAATATATAAATTGGAATTGGAATAAAATCCTCCAAGGATTATTATATTGTATTGGGTGAAGAACTAAACCCGTGTGGGTCATTCACAGCAAGGAGTGGCTGGAGCGGGATCCTCTGTCCGCTCCAGAGCTGATCAGTGGAGCTGTTGCTACACTTGAGTTGTCAGTGGTAGCACAGCCTCAGTCATCACCTTCCTAGACAGACACACCACTTGCTGTTATTATTATTATTATTATTATTATTATTATTATTATTATTATTATTATTATTTCATATTATATTTTATTATTATTATTATTTTCAGTAATAATAATAATAATAATAATAATAATAATATTATTATTATTATTATTATTATATTATTATATATTATTATTATTATTATTATTATTATTATATATCATGAAGAAGCGCCAAACCCCTAAGGTTCATACAGCGCCAGCAGAATGAGACATAATTATATTTAATACGATGAAGCGTAGGGTAGCTCTAGTTCCTCGCATTAAAACCCTTTCTTGTGCACCTCTTAGTGTACCGTGTGTACACGTAGAGCTTAGGTTACCTGCGGTGAATTATCACTCCCAAGATAAACCATAAAAGATTATTATTATTATTATTATTATTATTATTATTATTATTATTATTATTATTATTATTATTATTATTATTATTAGAGGTACATAAGTGGTTGATAGATTTTTCATGTTCACTCCCAGGTTTCCATTTATACCTTGAGACCACCTGATCCTAGCGGGATCAGATTTTCATTACTTATGTACCGTTACCAGGAAAATATTAATGTCATTATAGGCACTGGCTATTTTGATCTGGACTATTCTTCATGCTGGTTTCCGTGAGATAACTTGAGAAACCTTCTTCTGTTCGGCTTAGAAGAACTGTGGGGCTGTTATTGGAACATTTAGGTACTAGTCTATATGTTTTTTTTTTTGTGTGTGTGTGTGTGATTTCCGTCTTTAATGGCTGATACTGTGTAGATCCAAATTTGACAATTTACTTACATAGTTAATAAATTCGGAGCAGTATCTATAGAATGTCTCTTCAGCTTGGCTTCAAACTACATGCGATAGCAGACTTCGTTCATAAAAAAAGGTGCACACTGATTTGGGCTATTTAAAATTA